AACTCCGGGATCGATGGCTGCGACGTGAATTTCTTCCGCTTGGTTCTCGCGGATAGACTTTCCGTATACCCATACAAGTGTCCAATGTCCTAGTTTCCTCTCGTATATCAGCTTCGAGTCCATTTCAACTTTGCCAATCTCATTCGGCCAACCATGATTGCGTCTCCGATGTTCATGATGAAATGGTGGCTTCATTTTGTGACGTGGATGATTAGGGTCGACAGCAAGAATCGCATTATTATGTAGGAGCCTGACATAAAAACGGAGTGGTTCGCGACAGTATTGAGCACGGATGGTAATCGTCTGACGGTCATTTTTCTTAGATCTAAAACGAAGAACGTGACGTTGATGTTGATTCTCCTTATTCCTTGCGATAACCTCGTCTCTTGCTTATATGGCGTCTGAGATGGCATGATCCAATACATCATATGGAACCTTATCCATAAAACTCCATTCCTTTGTATGTTTAATCTTTAGCCGAAGGAGCGCCCTAAAGAAAAATTGCTTTGTACTCCTATGACGCAAACGGTAATTGTCCACTACCATATTGTAAACTAATCGAGCGAGAGGAATTGGGATACATTCGTATTTTTAAAGTCTGCCTTCTTCATTCTTTTGGCTCGTTGTGTTGTTTGTACTTTCTTCTCGCGTTTTTTGTTTTTTGCCGCGTTTCCGTTTGAGTCTGTACCTGGCGGAACGCTTTCCTTGTGATCGGTAAATGAAGACTTTAGTGATGGCGAGGATATCCGGAGATAGTTTCCATTCGTCTGTTGAGTTATCTTCTGAGAAAACCACGATTTTTGTGCCATTAAGGTAAAAGGCGAACTGACACAGCTTGTCTCTGTGGGCAATAACAACTTCTTTGACCAGTCTGTTCCAATATGGTCTTACGTTTATAGGTTGCGAAGCTGACGAGTTATTCGAAGGTTGGGGAGCTGAGGACCTCCTTTTGTATGAACCCTTTTTTGGTGGTGGTTTTGGCGGCGGCGGCGGCGGCGTTAGCATTGAGGGGAGAGATTATGTGTTTGGATTTTTAAATGAGCAAAATATTGTAATGGTTAAAAGAGCTTGGGGGATGATGTCTTTAAATATGTTTATGGTTGTCGGCATTTGAATGGCGGAACCGAAAACACACATAAAACATGCAATCTTATATGGAGCCGACGCGCATAAAACATGCAATTTTATATGGAGACATGCATAAACCATGCAATCTTTTATGGAAGCCTACGCGCATAAAACGTGCAATCTTATATGGAGCCTGAAACATGCAATCTCACATGGAGCTTACGCGCATGAAACATGCAAACACAGACTATATGATGGATCGCGGTCACAAATCGTTAATTGGTCACATTTGCTGCAACCCGTATCTTAATAGTCTTTCTCACGAGCAAAATAAGTTTTCGGGTAGACACTTGCAATTCCATGCAATTCGAATTTTTTTGATACGTTCCGTTGTCTTTGTAAATATATTAGAGGGTTAAACAAAATTGATATTAATGTTACATTATAACATCGTAAAATCCATCCTAAATTTTCTATTAATACGATAATAAAACAGCTCTGATCAAGCGGCGGAATAGTCGAAAGGTTTCAATTTACAATTGTTTATTCAAAATGACATGTTTCCTATGTTATAATTATCATAATGACTAATTCTACCAAGGGTTTGCGTTTAATAAATTGTTGTTGTTATGATTATTATTATTATTACTACTGTTATCATTATGATCTTCGGCTTCGTACTCTTCCGCACGTGATGTTGGCAATATAGTATAACCGCCAATATTTCGGTGACCTTCTTCTTCCTCTTCTTCAACGAATTTGTTCACTTGATTGCGAATCTGGCTATTCACGTACTTTTTTATATGGTCCGCCGAATCGTCCAATGTCTGGACTACCCAGACTGGCCCGACGATTGATGCAAGGATTCCTATTACGAAAGCTAACATGGGCCAGTCTCTCCAGGTTGCATACCATGTCCGAATCTTATCCTCCAATAAGGGAAACTCGAAGGTAAATCCTGTAACCCCATTCTTTGGCGCGGGTACCCACAGGCGGAATCGCCCATAGTCATCAACGACTCCTGACACGCCTCCAGCGTCACACCGTAAAATCCAAAAGCCATTTTCAATGGCACGTACCGCAGCCATCTTGAAGTGCTGCATCCCTATGGAAGCAGACCAAGTTTGGGCTGGCGAAAGCATCAACTTGGCATCCGATGCCTGCCATATCAGGTTGGGGAAGTCCATATCGAAACATATCGCACCAGAAACTGTAATGCTTCCAACGTCAGAACGCCCTTGCGTTATATTTAGTTCACCGAGTGGCAAAATGCCGGGTCCTGCCATGACAGAGTGCGATTCCGCGAAAGGCACTGGGTGTGTCTTTACATACTCGAATATACTTTCATTTTTTGGTGAAATTAGATTCAGCACGTTTTTCCGCAGGCCATTGGTAGTTGGTATAGTATACGATAGTCCTATATACGAGTGGTGCTTATATGCGATCTCCTTCGCCTTCTCTACCAATTCGTCTAGTTCTTGCGTTGACTCGATATGCAATGCTGATTCGGACCATAGAACAATCTTCGCGAGTGGAGCGTACTTTTTCGTTGCATGCAGCATTTGATCTGTTGGTGATTTCTCAATATTTGTGCTGCCTAACACGCATGATACTCCGAACGATTGTATGGTCGAACTGTTCGGCTCGATTGTATTCCCTCGCGAAGCTCCAAGAATATATACAATAAGAAAAAATACCGTAGAGATAATGGCGTATTTTCTGTGTTTTTTGCGGTAAAATTTATCGCTTCGAATTATTAGCGGAGTTTCTTCTTCTTCATCATCCTCGCTTATCGCAACAAGGAATTTGTCCGGCGTTTCGTAAACGAACTCCGCAATGACTTGCGACATCCATGCCAATATAAAATCGACACCAGAGAGGCCAAACCACGACGCACTTTGCATGAAGGGGCCCTGCAGCGAATACGCCCAGTCTCCCCACGAGCCTAATGGCGAGAAATTACGGTATGCTCCCCATATGAACGTCCATAACGCTGGGAAAAGAAAGAATCCTATTTTTTTCCTAAGTCGGAGAGATTTGTCTAGGTAAATCGGAATTATCGTCATCATCGAAATTATGCTACCAATGATTATCAAGGCAGCGTAATCATCGAGTGGATTAGATGTTGCTGACTCTGAATAGACTTTATACGAGCCAGCAATACCAATTGCAACGAAACAGAATATGGCGACATCATAATAAAGGTTTTTTGAATATCTAACAGCTAGAAGTATTATTGGTAATGATATAAGGGGTAGAGGTGCTACTTGTTTAGCACCGAGGGATGCGAATGACAAAAGACCGCTGAGCATGACAGCGGTCTTTAGGAAATACGGGCGCATTGACTTTCGAAAGATTGCAAGTGTGGCTTGATCCATCGCGATCAGTTTAAAGTATGTATGATAGATGAGACCGCCCTTTTATTACATTCTCATTAACACTGTTTTACAAATAAGGTGTTGTATCTCCTATAGATGGTATAGAAACTTGCACAAAAATTGTGAGACCACTTTTATGGTTATATTGGGCGTAATGTTATCATGAAAAACATCCTGTTTCTATCAGCATAAGTAACAATCATATCTATGTTATCCTTCAACAGAAAGGAAAATGCAAAACATGTATTTTGACTATTGCAGTATTGTAAGGACCCAGCTTCCTTATCAGCTTAATAAATATGTACTATGCAAAAGCTAAAGTGGATGTTTCAATAGGGCTTGGTTCCTGTATTTATGATGGGCACGTTAAAAATCGTCAATAATTAAATCGATCGTTATTGGCAGCGACTATGTGGTATACGTGTACTAGATTGTTCTGGGCAATTTCATGCGAGGTAACAAATCTAGAATAACCGTTTGATTGAACCTTAGAAAGAATAGATATAAAGAATAAACATATCACCTTATCTTGCAGATCATGGCACTTATGGAAGGAAAAAAATTTTTTCTCCCAGAATTTACAGCAAGATCCACGTAATGCCCGCAGCCAATCATAATAATCGTCTATCTTTTAGATCCTTCTTCGCCAACGAAAACGTACGATTTCTTGCCCGAATGAAAAACTCTTGTCAATCACTCTTTATGGAAGACAAAGAAAAAGCTAAAACTTTCTGCTTTGCCCCTAATGAATTATTCAAACTCGCCGTAGACAATAAGCCGCGTAAGTGACACGCCCTTGTTACATAATCGACCCTCCTTGCTGTTTCGGCGGTTTACCGTCAAAATTTTCTCATCGACCTTTTGCATCAACAGCTATTTTAATTACATGTATTGTATTTTTATTCTACAAATGCTCATTTACGACTATAATAATAAGCATAAATTGACTATCTCTGATGGATTATGATAATCTTGCGTTACATTGATTCCCCCGAAGTTTTACCATCAGCACGTTTGGTCTCGATCTTCTTTTGAAGTGAAAACCTCGTATATATAATTATTATATATGCTCTCACCAGAGAGTTAAAGAACTAGTCACTAACAAATCTGGAAAATCAACAAAGATTAGGTGAACGTAACATTTAAAATGTTATTCAGCGCTTAACATTAAATTTTAATGATAAAGTAATATGCAAGGGAGCCTGCTAAAATAGCTAAGCACGAAAAATCGCTGCTTGATTTTTTTTTAGGTAAACTTTGAGCATACAATTATATTAGTAGCGTTGAGACTGTTCGCAAACTAGTCTGGAAGATATTCGTATAACACATATTAAAATACAAGGAAAATGTTAACGACCGCATATTTCAAATCCATTAGCTTGCCTCGGAAACTGCTTAAAATAAATGATCAAGTTTTCTATACAGTTCGCAAGCTACGCCTTCAAGATATTTATGAGTGATTGAGAGATGAAATTTGCTTGGAAACAGAATCTCTTATTGGATATTGCTTGAATAGATTGTAGTTGGTCTTTTGGTCTGTAATCAGTATACGACGTAGACTAAAACATGTACTATCTAATTTAAAGACTAAATAACTATGTAAAATGATAGTAACTATGCGGTGTCTCTATTCAGAAGAACCATCGTTTCGCTAATTTACTTGGTAAAATTCGCAGAGTTGTGTATAAATTGGTCAAACAGTTCAATCTTTGTCAACGCAATTGCAATATCGGTTTTATTTGTTCAATAACCAATTGCAACTATGCTTTTGTTACCACAGTAATTACTATTGCTCTTGTAAAATCTCCCAATGTTTGCTCATCATATCGTAAAGAACATAGTAAGTAATCCAGATTTCACTTTTTTGCTGCCGGATACTAATTAAATGATGGGCATCAAGTGCCTCGATCGCACGACTGTGCTCTTGTACCGGCTTGTACTTCGTACGTTTCCTTGATCAGAACAAGAGATTGAGCAATAGTAATGACAGATATTTAACGTTTACGTATAATTAATACTAACTTTACCAGCCGCGCACGCGTATTATAATATTGCACAATACTGTCGAGAAATGCAAATCCTTCGTTCTCAATGCGTGATAATTCGGCAATTATATCTGTACGAATGTAAGTAATGTGAACAATAGAATAAACGCACTGACAGTGTTGACAAAATACGTTACCTTCAATTGCGTTACCTTCAATAGGTTCATGTAACTCGTTTCCATTGTTGAATCTATTGACCATTGTATTTCGAATCAACACACGCATTGTATGAATACAGTAACTCGTACTAAAATAACACACATACCTTGGCAATAATAACGTTGCCCACAATCGCATTTTCCCACAAAATCCCACGAGCTCGCTAATTTCGTTTCGAAGCAGTGCGTGTATACTTCTGATTTCCTTTTCGTAACTGATGAGTATTGGCAACTGAACTGCCATGTCCTCCACTCTATGTTTTTTAGAGACTATTTTAACGCTTGTCTCGTTTATTTCTGCTAGACTATTATCGTACATATCAACCGAACTTAGGGAAACAATTTTTGCAGGTAGAATTTCACTGATTATGAAATGCGCCTCCTGGGCAATCCTCGAACGTATAGTAAGGATTTTAGGAGATGTAGACAACTGTTTAGGCGGCATATAGAACGCGAAAACAGATGCCGAGATTAGGCTATAACGTACAATGTTGTAAGGTTGTGGAGAAATACAATATCGAAATTTTGATGAGATGAAAACAAGGTTTGAGCCGTGGCAGGCAAAGCCGATAATTTACGCAATATAATGTGTATTTGCTAATTATTGTAATAGTGCTTTCAATGTACCACGCGACAACCAAAGAAAGGGTTTGCTTTTGCGCTTTCTTGGTGGTAACTAAACGTACAGCTGTAAAATACGATACAAACGTGAAAGCTATCAAGAGAATACAGGTACAAAAGTGATAGATGGCTGATGTGATGTAAAATACAGATTATTGAGTCATGTATCGAACCGCTATTACGTAGGCAAGTCGATAAATTGGCGGACTATAAAGACACGTGAGTGAATTTCCAAAACGAGAAGAATCTTAGTTATAGGAGACAACATCCATATGATAGTCTTGAAGTGGCTGTTCTAGAATTTTTGAAGTATGGTTGATTCGGATACTCAATTCCGGTTTGAATAACCAATTCGACAGCGGAACCAAGTTTTAATGTTTAATTACATATAGTTTAAGCGTGTATAATTACAGTACATAAATGTTGCAATTTAAGGCGCATCTCGTAAATATTGTCACGTAATGTAATTTCGGCCATCGGCAATAACGATTCAAGGCCTTTCAGTGATATCAAATGTATTTGGACATAGATTCTTTTACTGGTGTCCTATATTTGGGGCATGCTGCAACAAAACCAGATAAAGTGATCACCTGAACTCAAATTGCTGGTGTGGATGAAAAATTAGCTAATGTATATTAGCTATATTTTTAATCAATATTAATACAATATCAAAAATGTAATTTGGCTGATAAACTCTTTACTATTATGATAATGATAATGTATTTCATATAGACCTTCCATATAGGCTCTCTATATAAAAATGAAATATATGAAGGCTCAAGGAGAAAATTTGTCCATATGTTTTTAAAATAAATAATACCCAAACTCTCCAGGAATATCTAGATAAAGAAAAAATCGCGAAATTTACCAAGAGAAGAACGAAAAATAACGAATCTTAACATTAACTTATGATGAACCAAGGAAAAACGAAAATTAGAAGAAACATAAAGAAAACAAATCCAACAGCCATCGAATAAGCTGATTATTTCTCTCTTTTTTTCAATAATATATATAGCACCAAAGCTGTAAGCCAATTCATAATAAAAAAACTTATCTTTGTTTACCACAATTCTTTCTTTGTATTTACCTTGGCCTAATGCATCGAGGGGCGTGTTTATCGGAGGCAGATATTGCTGCACGATTACTACTATGAAATACTTTTATATTATTGGAAATCTATTTCAAATAATTTCAAAAAAAATTCACTCAAGCCACCAAGTTTATCTCAGTCACAAGCAATTTTTAAAAAAGCGGGTCTTTGAGTTTTACTTGTTCTCTAATTATACAGCTGCGAGTCAAAATGACAATAAATACGATAACAGGGATAATTTTTATTCGTTGTACGCTGTATACACAAATAGTACAAATCTGACACAATTCATGACTTTATCATATTGATAAGTATGAAAAGTAATAAAAAGAAACACTAGGATAAATTATTAGGAGGGCAGCCAGTCATAGACCAATAGCTGTGTTGGTCTGATCTAATTCCTCACTGCCAGAAACTGCCATTGGATTTTGCAATTATACGGTTGCCCACTGACATGAAAAAGCATTATTTCTTGGAATTGGTTGCAATTGTGATTATTTAAAAAAGATTCCGAGAGAAAAATTTGCTGAATTACGTAAAGCGTTTCAAGCTCTATCTAAATAACTGCCAGCAGACATCTTAAAAAAGAAAACGCGTACTAATAAGCGAACGTTTTACTACTGAGATCGCAGTACGCCTCTTTGTCGAAAAACGTATCTCAATATGTTAGAAATTGGTCGCACTCATTGAAAACGTCAGAAATTAAAATCATCTGGCAACGAATGGTATCGTGTCGCACATTCACGCTAACGTAAACGAATACCGCGATGAAAAACCAAAATAACAATTGACATAACTACTGCTACCGCCGTAAAAAATTTCTCGAAAACTATGCCGAAATTCATGGGCTACCAAGTTCTGGTAGAAACGTCAACCGAATTACCCAATTGCTTATACTTTTGCCAGCAGAAACGAGTTACAGATCGATCTATCGTGAATTTACTACAGGTCTTGAAAATAATGGCACATTGAAATTGTTAAATATGACGCATCCCGCAAGTTATAACACTAACTAACGCCTTACATTCAAATCATGAGTCCAAGAGCGGATTATGTGATACGTGTCAATGGTTTCGAAGTGGATTACTCGTAAGGGAGAAGAAGCAAAAGACTTTTTGAAAAAATACAAAGAACATCTGGTTAAGGCAAAGTTGGAAAGAAGTTATTACCACAAAAATGCGAAATTAAAATTAACAAAACAACAGGGAAAATTGGTAGATGAGCATTTCATAACAAGAGGTAAAGCTGATTATTGTAGCGTTGGTTCTACTACTGCTCATTACAGTTACGATCGAGCACAAAACGTTTACGTTCCCATTCCGATCAACAAGTAAGTAAAATTTATTATCTTAGTTTACGTAAAGTGCGTTTATTTGATATACAAGATAAAGCAGTACGCGAACAAATTAATTACGTTCTTGATGAAGACAAAAAACTCCTTATAAACCAGCTATTGAAGAGAATTAGTATAATCAGCTACCATTTCTTCAATCATTATATTTAGTTCAACAGTGAATTTATTTTGAGAGTAGAATTGTTTTTGTGTTAAATACTTTCTAATTCAAACTGGCTTGTCTAGAGTTTATTAAATTCACTGACTAGTTCTCATTGTCTTTTTCAGCTACTTTCTATAAACTCTGTTGCTGAGTCTCTCGGAGCTTTTTTAAACTGCCATTGTAATTATAATCAGCAAAGCCTTGGTCACAAATATCTTACTTTTTGTTTATCATTTATGCTATTCATAATGGTTATTTTTATAACTTTTCAGTTCAACTAGTCTTATTTTATTTTTCCAGTTTTCTTTGTTTACTGAGTTATAATCAGAGTTTTCTAAAATTTTTAAAAGCTCTTTCTTGCTTGATAAATTAAACACAAGAAAAAGTAAGTGTCTGTTTTAACTTGGTCATTTTGAATGTTATATGTTAGTCACATCTGCTTGAGAAATGTAAAAATTAGTCCATGATTTTTATGTTCAAGCCACAGCCATCCACTAATACTAAAGCCTTCATGATTCCAATCTTCTAGCTGCATCAATCATTTTTAGCTCATGCAGTTAAATGTTCACTTGTCTGGTTTGTATTCACATTATAAGTATCCTCATAGTGGTAGTTTCGTATCAGCCCTTTTTTACAGACGAATGGCAAACTAACGCGTGTTTCTCATAGTAATGGCTGTATTCCCTTTTCTAGGAAACCGCACCATCAGATAACATGCTCGATATACTCAGCATATGATATACTCAACTTTTAATCAAGCTAGGCCTCAAGACAAAGACTGGAAAATACCCTCTCCCTCCCCTTCCCCAGCAACAAAGCAACAAAAGAACATATTTGACAAAAACCACAGACTGAGATTTCTCTTACTACCACCACACATCTTATTGAAGCCAACTATGCTAGCAGACTATAGAACTACTTCCCATGGATTAGCCACTTATATTAATATTGGAACATGCACACGATTCTGCATGAGAGTAATAGCAAGTCATCAGAAACGTCTGAGTTCTGGACTGAGACAACTCTAATCACACAAACTATTATTATGTAAAGAAAGGGAAGGGTATATATTAATATTTTCATGATTGTCATGCTGAAACGAATCAGGCGAATGCAATAGTGAGATTATTACTGTGATAACAACGGACAACGCGTCAAATATGACATCCATGAGAAGAAATAGCCTTCTCAAAGTAATTCAAAACTCTAACATCTAAACAATGTTATTAATCTTATTACTCGGCTATTAAAAATTACAATGCAAGACAATTTCAGTAATGTGGCGACTTTTGGTCCCCCTCTATTTATGACTTTGCCTAGAGAGTAGGCTTCAGCTTAGTCGAATGTGTTTCTAAGGTTCCTCTTCGCCTTTTCAACCCCATCCTCCCACGTCATTCTGCAGTCTTCTATTACTACTGCTACTACATTCTAATCTACTAACCGACACTAATAAAGTTGTCACAATATACCGGATTTTTTTAGTAATCTCTTGATAATGATTATAACGGACAGCTAAACGATAGAAAGATATACAGTAAAAGCATCGCATGTTCCGATTCTTCCTTTCGAATAATTAGCTCTTGTAATCGATAGTAGAGTAATCCTTTAATCCTCTAATAAAGTGCATCAAATACACATTCATTTCTATTCCCTGGTAATCGTACTGATAGAGCCGGAAATGTTAATCTCGCCATTGATAAGAGCGATCAATACTTGTCCATCGACGGCGACTACACGTAAGATCCCAATCGAAGCCAAATAGTAATCGAGGATCAACTTCGACTGAGTGATAAACATAATTCGCGGCTGATGCTGAAACCATGGTCTTTCATTGGTTGATCGGATTCTATTCTTTAACCTCAGTCGGATTTCAGCATCAACCGCGACAATTATTGTGAGAGCTGATGCTGAAATCCGGCTGAAGCTGAAACTAGCCAATGGGGTTAGAGAATCGTGACAATTATTATTATCAAAATAAACGCGTCGCATTTTTCTTATTTTGGAATGCATAAACTGTGTTACTCCCAAACTTGCAAATTTGGCCGTATAAATTAACAATTAAGGCGCTGTTCTTATTTATCTGCCACATATAGTAACTACCGAGTTTAGTATGCTCCAGGTGCCATAAAATTTAATTCAATACTAAATACGGGTAAAAATCATTAAAATGCTTTTCACCTTTGTTCAGTTTCTTAATACTATCGAAATTCATTCGCCTTTAAACAGCAAAGACCAAACAACAAACTACTTCCAACCATACTCAAGACATGTCATCAGCCGGATCGCCACGCAAAACAGAAAATCTAACACGCAACCCAGGGTTAGAAAATGCACCAGACATGCTGCAATCTATAATTGTCGCAGTAGCGGAACTGCATATATTTGATGGGGATTCTGGAATATTCTTATTACAGTCTCCAAGAGTAGAGGCTGCGTTATTTAAGGAATCTTCGTACAAATGTAAGCCCAGCCAAAAGTACTACGCGGAATGCTGTGGATACTGTGAACGATCTTTAATTTATTATTTAATTGTAGATTGGCTTTATGTCGCTGATGAGGACAGAAAGCATGTTGGACAGATAGTACAGCCAAATATGCATGCTACGTTTAGTACGGTACGTGTAATTCAGCAGAGCCATTACGCAAGTATTTATCAACTGACAAATATTACAGTCACATAGATGTCTAGTATGGTGCTTCTACGACGGTAATAACTTTGCATAGTCAAGATGCATGCGCGTCAACTGTAAGCTAACCCATTATCGACAGAAAAGGGACGCGTCTATTCTTGGCTACTGCGATTCAACGACAGAGAGATGCAAGAGCGATTTAAAGATGCCTTTGTACGTGCAATGTACGAGAGTCTTAACGAAAGCAATTTCAATGCTATAAAGGTTAATAATCGCATCAACATGTTATTACCGTGATAACAGACGTGAAAAGCTCTAATTATGAATATTATTTCAGCCAGAGGATCAACAATATATCATCAGTGCATATGAAGAGGATGTCGAGATGCAAGATGTAGAATCCGAAGAAGAAGAGTCCGATGAAGAAGGTATAAGAATGGTACATTAAACATGACACTTGATATGCTAGGAAACGCATATTATTTGTGCATCATTCTTGGAAAGCACGTTAGGACCTTCATAACAACGTACAATTATCATTACAGAGAGCGAATCAGAGGAAGAAGACGAGTCGGAAGACGAATCCGAAAATGAGAGCGATGCTGACGAGTTTACGCGAAAGAAGGATCGAAATAAATATCTTGCAGTTGGTTCCAAGAACGACAGGTCATTTGTTGTTAAAGGCGGCGCTGTTGGTGTATTCAAACACACCAATGATGACAAGCTGGAATTCGTTGCTGCCATTGGCGACTTGGCTAAACCATCGGGAGAGACTATTGCTCCGTCCAAAGTTTGTGTTATATGAATACCGTGTTATATTCGTATTCCACTCGACCGCTTAATTGAATCGACTTTTTTACTTTACAGGTAATGCTCCATGAAGGGGATTCGTCAATGGTCTTACTGGACGAAAAGGACGAACATAGTTTATACAAAATGGACATCGAATATGGGAAAATAGTCGATGAATGGAAAGTTCATGACATTATTCCCGTCGTCAACGTCGTACCCACTTCCAAATTCGCTCAAACTACAGACGAGAAAACCCTCATCGGCATCTCTCACAATTCCCTTTATCGCATCGATCCACGTCTTCCTGACTTTAAACTGGTTGATAATGAACGTAAACAGTATACCACCAAAAACCATTTTACGTGCGCTGCGACGGATGAAAAAGGTCACATTGCTTTGGCGAGTGAGAAGGGAGATGTGAAACTATTCGATAGACTAGGGATAAATGCAAAGACAAACTTGCCTAATATTGGTGATCCGATCATTGGCATTGATGTCACTGCTGATGGGCAGTGGGTTATTGCTACCTGTAAGCAGTATCTGTTGCTGATTGATACACGGTTGAAGGGAGGTGATCACGAGGTGAAGACTGGATTTGAAAAGTCATTTCCAAAGGATAAGAAGGTAACTTATAGGAGATTGTTTTAAGGAGCTTGATAGCAACTCATAGAAGCTTTGATTAACTCTGCACTTTTATTAGCCAAAGCCACGAAAACTGCAACTTCGACCTGAGCACATCGAACAAATGGGCGTTGAAGTAATATACCATCGTGTTCTTTTACGCAATTTCTCTACCCTTTCCCGACGCTTAACTTTTTTGGGGGACCAATTTTTCCTATCCATAGGTATCCTTTACTCCAGCCCGCTTTAATGTTGGCACATCGGAAACTGAGAAAACAATCGTCACAAGCACTGGTCCCTTTGTAATTACGTGGAACTTTCGACGGGTCAAACAAGGAAAGACGCGTGATTATCTCATAAAAAGATATGGGGAAGATGTTGTCGCTGATGACTTTAAATACGGCGGAGACCGATCGATTGTTGTTGCTTTTCCTCATGATGGTAAGCGGCAAAATGGTCCTACGTGAAATCCGGGAGTTTGTGTTAACAAATTTTGTTTAATAGTTACTGCAGTAAAAAAACAATATCTCCGTGCGCCTACAAGGGATGCGTTGTCGCCCACTAAAAACGTGAGTTTATGATATTTATTACAATCGAGAGTAATGTTTATATGATGGATAGTGTTACTTATGATAATTAACGTAAAACAGACATCGCGATCCAGTATTGTCAATTCCCCTTGGTGAAGAACCTACTATGTGCGAGTTGGTATGTACGTATCTCTTATGCTGTAAGGCGAAATTTTGATTTATGCCGTTATTAGGTTTCCCTTTTTGGTAAGTTTTGAGTAGATAAGTCGAATTTATCCCTTGTATAAATATCTTCAATAGTTTCATTCTACTCCTCCTCTACATGAAATTTCTTCACTATCGTTAACGAGATTAAAACTTTTACCCCCTTTCTACACTCACACTCAATGAGTACAGAAGTCTTCTTCTATTCTACACATTCCTGCCAATATAATAAAGTTTACACGATTATAATTGCATTGTTGACATACGGACATGTATACACCTTATCGCTCACGGAATTTGTGGGGGTACAATGATGCTCTACGATATTTATGTAATTCATTGTTATTGGTTTGTTTGTTGACATTTTCGATAACATAACGACTATGATTGAACTCTCAAATGCCAACACTGTATCCAAAAAGAACAATATATAGATTCAGTCTATTTGCATGTATATTAATAACACAGAATGATGCACTCTTCATCAACAATTCCCAAATCAACAACGCTCGTCTACCATTGCATTGCTACTTCTCTAGTTAAATAAGATTATGCATCCGCACCTACATTATACTAATCTCCGACATTATTCAATACCACCATCGCCAAGCGATAACCACAAACACCACGAATCCAATCACAGCGAATGGACCGTACTTTCTGTATAACAGCTGCAGATTCAAATCTCTTGCCGACTTTTTATACTTTTGTGACTCGTATCGTAGTTGATCGGACAGATTCGACATTTTTTCGAGTCCCTCGCCGCGCCAGAGGACGTTCTCTAGATTCTTGGTCATTATTTGAGAAACTTCGTTTAATTCGGAATTTAGTCTGTCGAGGTTGTGTTGGGTTCGTGTGTTTTGGTACATTTTCTTGGTTTTTTGCATGAATGTGTCTAAGATTAAGTGAAGGAGAGGGAAGAAGAAACAGTTTGTGTAGATTGTAAAATGTAACGTTAATATTTTAAAATAGAAAGAGCTGTCGATATTCTTTATTTCCATCCCTTACCAAACTTTACGAACGCATACGGCCTTAATGTCTTCTTTGTTATATCATTTCCGTAACTCATGAAGAATTCCTTGGCAAGTTCCTCAAGATAGCTAAATGCTAACTGGCGAGGATACGATCTATCACAAATTGTCATGTAACAGACACCGCTCTGTATAATGTAGCTTAATTCAAACAATAAAAGAAATGAGGACGATTTGTTAATGAAAAGGGACCCATCGCTAATCGTGATCATTAAATAACTAAGCAAATGGAAATATCGACACTGTAATACTAGTTTCAATAACGAATAATTAGACTACAATATATAATGTTATAGTTGGCCGTTGAGAATCCAAGAACAGTGATACATACTGAAAGTAATAGTTGCCAGATTCTATTGAACACCTCTCTTCTGAATTCTCGTTCATTTTCTTAAAAAGCATCTTGGCTTTATTCTTATGGTCAGCGAGCTCGTTATCTCCTGCCTAGATGCATTAATAACGGAAACATTGGCAATATTTTAGGCGGACGTAGGTATACATAAAAGTATTCAAAGACAGCGGATCTACGAACCTGTTCGTCATCCATGGAAGCAGCAAGTGGTAGACCTATTGTCGTTAACGAGTAGGTAAGTAAATCTTCTTTATAGCTCTACTCACAAAGACATTGAGTAAGTTTACCGTCAGATATTCGAGCGATAATGGTTGACTTCACCATGATTATTAATGTTTGTTGGTGTACTTCTTATACGCGCGACGAAGGAGACCTGTACAAAAGTTGAGTTACTGGGCAAACGGAAAAGAATGCTTTGGCAAGTAGTACAGTGTCCACACATGTCTTATTCTAATTGGCAGGCATATGAATGTGAAATCAAGTGACAATACGATCATCCATTCATTCGGATGATCTGCGTTGTCATACTTGTTGCCAAATATATTATTATTTGAATATGTGTGCTCCAGAATATGCTCATTGGGAAAATCCAGTCTCGATAAGTCGGCCAAACGGGTTTGACCTCCAATGCGAGAATCACGTAAATAAGCCTTTTAACCAAGCCTTTTATTAATAATAGTAAAATAACCCTGCAGACTATCTGTCTTAGAGAATCAATCAACTTGCTTTTTTCTTATCTGACGTTGTAATCTTGTATCCCTGATAATACAGAACTATTTAAGCTTAAACTATTCTATTACTATTCGATTGCTGTTTAAATGACATATTGTAGTGCTTTATGCTCATACGATTGTATTACGTTTTACATTTGTCACGTGCGACCGACTTATCGAGTCTGCCGTATCGAGAATTTTTAGATAGTGAAAAGAGCGTAGAAAAGATTTTGGCTGACTTAAGCCAAAACTGACTCATCGAGTAGCCGACTTATCGAGACTGACTGTGTATTTAGTTGTACAGTCCCCCGAAAAGTAATGGCGGGGTAATTTCACTCGAAATCTGTGTATAGCAATAATTATTTTAATATTACTGAAAGACGTAAATTATTCGGTGCGTGTTTCTCGAACTTGTAAAAATTGTTGATAGCAATTTTTCCTTTAGAATGAGTCCATTGTAAACATATTTGTATCATTCTGATTGAATTATGATAACAATTGACTTTTGTCTTTAATGTCAGAAAAAAGCACTCCACCATTAATGCCTCTACCCCAACTATATGCCCGATTTTCATATGCTTCATAAGCAAGATTATAACAAAAGATGTTTGGCATTCTTTGCATACTAGCTCTGCAACCTTAAAGAATCTGTTGCAATTTACCGGCGCGATGGAAGGCCATAGCTATAAATATTTATCATAGGCGACAAATGATATTAATATAGACAGTAGCTTTAGGCACAACCAGCCCATCTCTCTATCCAATGTCTCATTATTATGGTATATTAAGATTAATATTATTAATAATTAACACTAATACTAACACACGATTCCGATCACTTATCGACATTATTTTAGAGTCGTGCTCCACTATGTTTGTTTGAGTTCGTCACTAGGTAATAGGTAAAATATAAACTATTAGGTTATTAATATTGATGTTAATGTTATTATACAAGTGTCTAGCCGTTTCACAGCAGTAGAAACTATGGCCCATCGTAGGAAGAAACTATAGTACTATTATATTTTGCCTGGTGAAACTTTGTCAACAGATTTCTTTCGAACGAACGTCTATTTATTACAAACACAAAAAGTAAGTCGGGAGGTAAAATTTTTGTTATAACCGTGTCAGGTGTTCGGGTGTGACATTCTATACCTTGGTTATGTCTGATTTTTGCATGCTTAAAGCATTTAATTTTCCAAAGTGTTTATACAGATTTGTACAAATAACGTGTGCCATAACTACTATTTAAGATCATGTTTTTCTTATTCTTTCTATTCTTCAGCCCGTTTAACTTTTCAATTTTCACACATTTATCGAGAACTAGCCGTTCTATTATCTGCACATTATTAGTTACTCGTACATCCATGTCTAACGTTATTTTATTACGAGGTATTGTATGTATTTTGGGGAGTGTTCATTAAATGGATGAAATGGGTCCGGAGCCATTAAGTAGCACATTAGGGAAGGATTAAACTTCTTTTACTTCCCGATTCATTTCGTCGACAGGTAATTCACGATCGCCGACAGTCAAATTATTTCACCGATAATTGATTCACCACCGACTCGTCTTTTCTGATACCTGATCACGGTCTGTTAAACTGAGATATAGTCGACTTTTCCTGAATATGTCCTCTCAGGATAAAGAGCGTGGGTAAGAATATTGGATCACAAAGCGATAGCCATGTTCACTATTCTTAATGTTATAAATTAATGGTTATGTTTACACGCAATTAATTGCCAAAATCTATGGGTGCTAAAAAGAATCCATTCATTAAATAGTTATTCAAGCTGTCAAAACTGCATTTACATCCGCCCGATGTTTAAATTGAAATATGGCTGATTAATGGCATACCAAGACGTATATATTCCGTATACACATTCTTGCATATACGTGGGGTGATTTAAAAGTCCTGCGTGTCTAAATTTATTTCACCAAAACCAATAAACAACTGACAAAGTAATTATGACATTCCTTCAAAATACTCTCCCTTTGCCTCTATACTTTTTTTCAGCCGATTCTGCCACATATCGAACGACTTGTAATATTCCTCTTTAGGGATACTGCCTGAATGGCACGTGACAAGTTTTCGACACTATTAAAACTTCTTCCGCTCAGTTCATTTTTAATTTTGGAAAATCACAAGGTAAAGGGGCTAGGTCTGAACTATAGGGTGGGGGGGGAAAGAAGTCTGACTCTTTCCTCTCAGTAACAACTGCTGCCTTGTGTGGCGCAACATGACATCTCTAACGGTTGTTCTTCCTTTTTTTTTCTCCATAAATTTAGAAAAAACTTCGGGCAGAATTTGTTCTCTATAAAAGTTCACCATTAACCGTTTTACCTTTTGGAAACCACAATTCTTGCCTAACAACAAACCGCAGTTTTGACGATCTACGGTCTGTTTTCCAACCAAACCTTGTTGTCTTCTTTACTCGAAACGGTAAATAATACATCCACGTTTCATCGCCAGTAATAATATTATTGTTACGACCCGTTCTAGGTTCTGAGAACGGGTCAAAAATTGTTGACCCATTTCGATTTTGCAAAATGTAATAATCTACAGAAAAATTTTTTATCACAGTGTAAGTGATACACATAGCATACTATTCACAATAATACTAACAATGTTCATTCTAATAACACCTTTGATCTAAATGTATGAGCGAACGAAAAGATTTACTTTATTATTTTAGATTTAAACATAATTTCTAGTTGTAAGCTATGAATGATTAGCACAAT